AATAATATATATATATATATTCTTTTCAATATTCTTTATACAATTTGTAAGTTCAATATCGTGTCGATTTTAATTTTCCAATCACTTATGTGACATTTCCAATTCTTTTGAGATCGTCAGAAACATCGGATTATTAAATTAAAGTCGCGATCAATTGAATCAAGCAATTAATGTGACAAAAATAATAGAAAAATATTTCACGCTATTTTGTCGAAATCAATTCTTGATATCGTAATGATTCTTGTTCTATTATTATGAAAATATCATACATAATGATTCGTTTTTTTTTTAATATTATGTATGTAAGAAATCAGTAATTTCAGTTTAATCTTTCCATCAAATTATTTTGGCTTAGAGAATATTGAGCTCCTTCAACGCGAATAGACATTAAGCATTTAACGCTATGTAACTGTATGTATCCGAACGAAAAAAAAGTTTTGTATTCTCGCAGAATACATATATGATGAAGAAAAGTCATTTCCGATGAATCATCATCAAATCTTATTTTACTGAGATTATCGTTATATTAGTTTATCATAAATTATTAATACAATAAGTAATCACTAATTTAGCGATTATTATTCGCGTCGAATCGAATCTTCAATTAAAAAATTACAGAAAAAATAAAAATTGCGAAATCGTCATGGGTAAAAAGACGATGTCCTTTGACCGGCAAGGAATCTTACCTCGCGTTTTGTTATTAGGACGATCTCGAGGCTGCGCATCCAATCGAACGTAGACATCCCAAGGATATGTCTTTATAATTTCATGCAGTTGCTATCTTTGTTAAGTTGAATTGTTGAATTGTTGTCGTCGGGCTGTTGAGCGTCGTTGGCTCGTTCAGCATTGTATCTTGAATTAGTGAGTCGCTCAATGCATCGCCGTGTGTTGTTTATTCGCTTTTTTTTATTATGTGTTTCCGTATGTTTCCTCATATGATCCTGTCTGATGAATCCCTTGTGGCAAATATCACATCTAAACGCTCTTTCTCCAGTGTGGACACATGCGTGCCGTTTAAGATCAGTTTTGTGAGCGAACACCTTTGGGCACACGTCGCAACGGAATTTTCTGGCCATCGCGTGCATTTCCGAATGCCTTTTGTTCTGCTCTTCGTTTAAAAACCGTTTGCCGCACATGTTGCATTTATACGGCCTATCGCCCGAATGAAAGCTCTTGTTGTGCTGTGTCAAATAGCAGGGTCTGTTGAAATTCTTATTGCAATTGAGACATTTGTAGACGCCGTCTTGCGAGATATAATTAGCATTGATGGTGGTGACAATTTGCTTCTTCGTATTACTTTTGCTTCTACGCTGTTTCTTTGGCTGCAAGCCGATATTTGGATCCAAATCCTCCTTTGCTTGGCTTATCGGTATTAGATTGTTATTCTGCATATCATTTTGTCGATCGAATTCGTATCTCAACAATGCAATTTCTATATCTTGATTTGGCAACATATTGCTTTCATTCGTTTGCAATATTGCTATGTTTTGCACATTATTCACCTTTTGTAACGGTGACGGAAATGGATCAAAGATCGGTGTCGAAGTATCAAAGGGCTCTTGAGGAGCGATCTCCTCTACATTTAGCCCCCCCACGTTAACGGTCTGTATCTGGCTTTGATCTACGACCAATTCAAAATCCGGCAAATTCGACATGATGGTATTAAAACCGGGTAACAAGCAACGTTGTGGCTGCTTGTTTTGGCCGTTACCAATAATAGCTAGCTGCATGGTGGTAGGTACTTGGGTAGATTCCAGTGGGACCGCCGGGATGTTGGTAGTAATTGTAACGTGGGGGGGCAAGGCGTTTGGGTACGGCTGAGGAGGCATCGTAGTACCCCCCATCACCGTGGACGAAGTCATTGCTGGATGGCCCGAGCCGGGCAGCGAGTTCATGTGATGAACCGGATGGGATGATGAATCCATTGGTGAAGGGCAATTCATGTGCGCCGGTGGGGCCATGGTGGGCGAAGTCGTGGAATGATGCACCACCGGCTGGCCCAACGAAACCGTTGGCAGGTGAAGTTGCTGCTGCTGCTGGAGGCCCATTTGGTGAGGCGCAGTACCCATTTGTTGCTGATGGTGCCCCGCCAGTGGCGACACCGGGGAATTGATTATTCCTAGAGGGATCAGTTGCGGCTGCTGCTGCTGCTGCTGTTGCACCAGGACCGCTAAAGATTCGCTGCTGCTGTTGCTGCTGGAATTGTTGTTGCAGAGCGTGGTGGGCGTGTGAAGCAGGCCCCCCGTCGCCTCGCCCGAGGGACCTGCCATCAAGTTTGGGGGACTCCGCGTAGAGATCGGTGGAGATCGCGCGGGAGCGCAACCGCCCCTACCGCTCGTTGAATGACCAGCGTTATTATCTCTATTGGGATGATGATGACTGGTGACCGGTAGATTTGCTGGATCAGGTTCCTTTCCATTCTTTACAGCATTCTTGTGGAGCGTGGTGTTATAATGTCTCTTCAGATGCCCTGAACTTGTAAACCACTTGTTGCACGCAGTGCAATTGTATGTCTTTGGACGGCGTGCCTCGTTACTTTTCCAAGATTGATTCGCCAACGGTGGCGCTTTCGGTGTTTGTTGCACGAATCCAGCCGATATCTGATGGCTCGGTATTGGTTGCGCGCTTGTGAGTATCGATGAACCTTGATGCCCGTGCTCCACAGGCATATGTTGACCGCGCATGTATTGATCCTGATCAGTGATAGGTGGAACATTGTTTATGGGACCCATTGATGGGTGTCCAGCATAATCATGAGTCATAGTTTGCCAGTTCAACATGGAACTTACCGAAAGCGGTTCTATTCTCTGCGACTGCTGTTGTTGCATCACCTGTTGATGATGCATCTGCATCTGAAGTCCTTGCTGTTGTTGCTGCTGCTGCTGCTGTTGTTGTTGCTGATGCTGCTGTTGCTGCAGTCTCATTATCTCCTCTTCATATCGATGTACCTTATGAGAATCCAAGTCAAGGATCTCAGCTTGCTCTTCAGGCTGTTCCTGCTTCATTTCAGCCTTGATCGTCTGTACTCCGTTATAGTCGTAACCAGATTGTTGCGGTTGATTCGAGAGAGGCGGCGAAGGGTGCATCTGCTGGACCTGCTGCTGAGGACTATTGCCCAGTTGCTGATACTGAGGCACGGATGGATACGCGGTAGGCGAGTCCAAATGACTCGTTCTCATATGCTCACCTAATTGATTCGTGTCCTCGTACACGGCACCGCATTTATCGCATTGAAAAGGCGGGCTTTGCGGGCTGGTAGAGTTAGAAGTCGTGCGATCTGAAGGATACAATTGTTGATGTTGATACGGATGATAGCGCAAACCTCCATCGCGATTGCCGTTATTCTGGCCGTTTTCCTGTGATGGTGGAAAGTGATGATGAGACAAGATGAAAGTCTGATCGTTCTGCATGAAGTAGCCGTCCTCGCTATACATTGGAGTTCGAAAATGATTGTATGGCGAACATAAAAGTATAGCAGACTGTTGCTGTGTGTGAGATTGTTGCGATTGTTGCTGTTGCTGTGTTTGTTGCGAGGATGTTGAATCTTGAGAGGGCGACATCGATGATGCTTCACTCGTGTCCGCCGGCACGTTGTCCCGGCTCACGTGACTATTATGATTACCAGTCTTGCTATGGTTATTATTGCTCTCTTCTTGCTGTGTCTTGGTCCATTGATTTAGCAAATTTTCGTGTTGATAACGCAGATGCACTTCCAGGCTTTTCTCGCTCTCGAATTTTACACCGCAATCCTTGCAGTGAAGCTTCGCATTCGAACTATCGTCTACGTATTGTTGCTGTTGTTGTTGCGTTTCAACGGCACTCGTCATCTCACTCATATTGTCCTCTCCCTTCGTCTCGACCGTCAAGTCGCGCACTCCAATCGTCGTTTACTCGAGATACACACGATCAAACAGTAGTTTATGCACAATGCGAATAGAATGAAACTGAACGAAATATACATGAGTACCTGACATGCGCCTGTATGCGCGCGCGCAAGTAAGACAATCTTCCTTTCCCTTTCTTTCTATTTTCGATTGTTTCACTTTGCCACTTTCTGAATTCCGTGTAGAACGCGATAGAATCACATGGAATATATGGGCACGACGATGACGATGATAACGCGAAGCGGCACCGTTGAGTGTCACATGTACGAATTCAATCTCAGTAAGAGCGAAACAAGCGCGCCTTTGACTGACAGCTGAGTAGCCGGTAGTGATGGGTAGGGATAGATGGGGAAGAGGTTTTTCGAACAAAACAAAAGAGAAGGAAGTAGAAAACAAAAAAAACCGGGGGATACAGCGTGTTCTACATTTATCATATGACTGCACTGACTCTAAACGCGAATTTCCATTTCAATGTCGCTCGAAAAATCATGATCACTGCATGCAGCATTGTCGGTCTCGGCCAGACGACGTGTCGATGATGACGTCGACGACAGCGGGACGGTACCACTTGCTAAATCCCACTTGCTAAATCCCACTTGCTTAATGCCGGGGACGTGGCTTTCGATAACGAGATTTGAATGACGCCGGTTACCTCGGCGGCCGAACGAACAAAACAAAATAAAAGCGAACGCGCGTATTGCTCATGATTTACATATCGCCAGTGGCCTCTGCATTCTTCGACTCGGGACAATTCTTCGCCTTCGTTTAATGAGACGGTGGTCACACGGTGTCTCAAAAGAAGAAAATTTGAATTTCCAAAGGAAAATGAGCTTTAAACTCCCGACAATCTTTATTTTAAAAACTGTCACGAGCGCGATTCACTTAACACTTTGTTTATTACAATCCACAATGTCTACTTCTCGTATGTAGTAGCTTACTCGGAGTCTGTCTGTTCACAACTGATCGTGGGTGTTTGAAAAGTGATCACCTGACGTTACGTATACAGGTATACTGCGAGAACGGCAGAAGTGAATACAATGAGAACGCAACCATCTCAACTTGCCGTTCTCACCCCTCCGTTCGGTCACCCCCACTTTCCCACATCTCTCTTTTTCTCTCCCTTTTCTCTCTCTTCTTCTCTTTCTCTCACTCTTCTCGGATTTACACTTGCTCACTACTATCGTAGAACCGTGTCGTACGAACGCCGGCACTAGTCTGTTCTCTCGTTGAAATTCTGTAGTTTCGAGACCGCGCCAAGGCACCATTCTCCTCCCCTCATCCCTCCCTCGCTCGTGTTCCGCCCCACACTGCTTCCTTTGCCAATACTCGCCACCCCCTCTCGTCGTCACTTGCCGACTCTTCGAATTCTGCCTTTCTCTCTCAGACTTCCACACGTTTCCCCTCGTTCTCTATAATCGTCTCTCTTCCACTCGCTCTATCGTTCTCTCGAACGTCTTTCTCCTTTCTCCAGCACATCAGCGAATCTATGTCTTTCTCCGTTCAACGTTATAAAACTTTCTCTTTCTCTCACGAAGGCTCCATCGTTCCATCACGCTCCCTTCATTGGAAGAACTCTCGTCCTTCTTGCTTTCTCCGTTATGTTTTTCTCTCGCTCTTTCTCAATTTCTCTCTCTCTCTCTCTCTCTCTCTCTCTCTCTCTTCCTCTCGCTTAAGCTTCTCCCTCCTGTCTCGTCCAAATACTTGGCCGAAACACGAGTCTGTCTCCCTCCTACCTTCTTCTCTTTTCCTTGCTTACTCCTGTCCCTCCTCGGTGTACCAACCCCACTACTACCTTCGACTACAGTCGATCTTCTCCGATTCTCGCCTGAAGAGGGATAGGCACGCACGACAAAACGGTGGAAAGCGACAGCCAACCAAATTTGAGAGCTCCTTACCCCTCCCGGCTTTCATCCTCCCTCTCCGTTCCTTCCAACGAGTGTTTGGCTGTTCTCTTCCTCTTGCTTTACTCGTTCTCCTCGCTCGCTCTCGACAAACGACGAATCCTACAGGAGATGCTGCGCGTTTTGTCTCTCTCCGTTAGTCCCATCTTCGTCACACTTGAATGTGTCCTCTTTCAATTACGACGCTCGCCGTTACGTCCTCCCTCCCTCTTCTACGACGCGACGCGTCTTCGGAGAGAGAACACGATGGACGTGTGCGCATGGCACGGGAATCCTCGCTCGTCTGCACGCCCGCGTACCGGCCACGCCGGCCGGTCTTTCGTTTTTATTCACCAACTATACAGCGAGAGATTCTTCGAGACTCTCGAGATGGATCTTTCAAATCGGGCACACGCCGATTTTTTCGAGCAACGTACTTTACACGTATCTTGATGAGCATCCAACATCTTTTTTTTTGGTAAAGTATTAATTTTTTGACGTATAAATTGATATGAATCAATTTTCAAAGATTTTATTAATTTATTACCAAAAAGAGAGAGAGAGAGAGAGAGAGAGAGAGAGAGAGAGAGAGTCAATGTTATTAACTCTCGTTACTCTGCTTTGAGAATAGTATTTTCATGTGTATGAAGGAATCCTGCAAAGAAAAATCCTCTTAAGCACTTTGCAACTTGGCGCAAGCCAGTCAAATGACTTCGCGCTCCTTTGCCAAAAAATCCTTTCGAACGACTTGAAGATTGCCTAATTCCACCGAGTGATAAGCGTGACTCTCGACAGTTTGCCTAACTTTTTATTAATCCCCGAGCCACGAACCCTTCGTTGCCTGCGTAAAAAGTGCGAGGGAATTATCTAGTGATAACGAAACTCTTTTTCGTCTTTTGCCCCCATTCTCTCTCTCTCTCTCTCTCTCTCTCTCTCTCTCTCTCTCTCTCTCCCTCTCTCTCTCTCCCTCCATCTAGCTCCGCAATTCAATTGAATAAAAAAAATGTGACCTTGCGTTTTTTGTGACATCTTTTTTTCACACGCGAATATAGTTCTCCTCGGCCTGTGCACTTTGCCTACGGAACGTGACAGGGTCTTCTATTCCGATCTCTTACCCTCCGTCTCTGCCCGATCTAACTGTATCCACCACCGCGCGCGTTCGACCCTTTACTTCAACTATGAATATGTTTATTGCATTGCACGACGGCAATGATGTAAGGGGAGAGAACCTTGCTGCATGTGGGCGATGCAGAGCACGTGGTAGGCTCAAAACGAATGAGTGTCACCTGACTGGTACCTTTAAATGATCAGTATTAAGAATCAGGTAGCGCGGAGCGATTAACCTTTTTTGCTTTAAATGTATGCCATATACCTACATTCAGCTGGGTTCGAGAATTTCGCAATGAACAAAAAGGCGGAACAACTGTCTGGTTTTCCGTTATTTTTCTGATTGTATTATGTATATGTTACATTAATTTGTAAAGAAATAATTAATTTGGAATATATTTTAATTGCGTCCACAGTTATACGTATCGAATTTTACACTTATGCTTTATTTATTTTATTAGTAATTTATTAATAATTTTAAAAAATTGCAGAAAGTTCTCAATATTTTTGCCATATTTGTTAAACATCTTCATTAAGAAACAATTGATATTAAGTAAATAAAAAGTCTCATAAGACAAAAGCACGAAGAATTCTGTCGTTCTAAGTAAATATTACTTTCTTTAATAGCTCCGTAAGTTCTGATTAAGAGATTCTTATTTTTCGAATCACCGCTCGTAATTTTTCTTTTTTCTTTCGATTTTACCATTTTCATTCACTGACACGTTAAGATACGTCGAAAAGGTCGTCAACCAGCCGGAGGGTGACGGTAAATTGAATCGACCTAAGCAGCAGCCACCCTTCCACGAATTTAGCTTTGGCAGTTCCTCGCCTGCGCCACCCCTCAGCCTCCACTCGGCATTTTCGATGTGGACGCTGAGCTGACCGAACCACTATCAGCTAGATATTCGCTGGCGTGGCGTTTGCGCCCCATTTTATTAAGGAAGTCTCACCCTGGCCCCCCAATCTCTGCAGTCTCCGTGTCACGAAGTTCTACAGCGCGGGACTTCTCGTAACACGTGCAACGACGTACACCTTCGTTCTTCCGCACATAGACTCTTTTTTTTTCCTTCTCTAGCCTTCTTATTGTCGTATAATGAAATTGTTTTCTCTCTTTTGAGCATTTTTCTTACATATATGAAAAACAGTGGAGCTTTGCTCGCAAATCAACAAACACGTGATGAAGAAGAGATAACAAAACAGTTATATTTAAATGAAAAAAATCAAGGATTTTGAGATGCTTCAACGATCGTAGATTTATTCATTTCTAATTTATTTAAAAATTTCAAGCTTTTTTATTAAAATATACTAAATAAAAAATTCAAAGCTTACGGCAATAATATTAAATTGGAGAAGAGCCTGCAGGTAGTCTCTAAAGTTATAATTTCTAAATTACTAATTAGAATTTGTATTACACTATATTATAGTTTTTTGTCTTTTATATTTTGTTGCAAAGAAGAAAATTTATACAACGGCAAACGAATTATTGATTGATCTGTAACAGTTATCCGTTGCACTTACAATATCATTGCCTTTCAACAGAAATCTTATTACGATTTAATATAATCTTCGTTAGAAAAATAACACAAAGAGAACAAAACGTCCAGTGAAAAGAATTTTTTTTACAATTTTTTTTTTTTTTTTCGACGCATGACAGAAGCCTTCGTAAGCCACATTTCCGTGGCCCCAATCTCGCGAAAGAACTTGGAGGCCCGTCTGGTCGTCGGAGATCGCGGAGAGTAATAAAAAATATTCCGCGAGCTCGGCAAAGGGGGATGAGGGTCGACCACCGGGGTTCCATCATTAAAGGAAATTATAACAAAGTGGTTCTCCTCCGCGAGAGACGTCGGGGGCTGTCATTTGGCGGCGCGGAGTGTCCGCGGGATGAGAAGAAACGCGGGTGGCGTTGAAGAAGGACGAATAGAAAGGCTGAGTCAGTTCGCACGGAAAACGAATTGAAATTTTAATCGTCCACCCTCCCTCCCCCGCCGCGTTAAATGCGTCCGCCACCTTGCCGGCTCTAACCCAGCCTCCCTTTCCTGCGACGCGACCCACGCTAACCTCTAGCCTCCTTTTCCCGTTTCTTTCCTTTTTTCCTCTCGCTT